CCACGACCACGACCACGACCACGACCACGACCACGACCACGACCACGACCACGACCACGTTGTCCCCCGCGAGCGGTACGGCACACGGGCCACCGCCCCCAGGCCCAGGACCGTGGGGCGGCCGGAGGCAGGGGCGGGCGGGGAGAGACCTAAACGCAGCCGCGGGGGGCGAATGCGTCGTCGCCGGCGGCACGGCGGCGCGCTCGCGAGCGTAAATTGAAATCGGGGAGAAACCATCTGCATATCCATCACGATAACGCGTTCGAGGCGGGGGCGGGGGGTGAGGCCGCCTCCCCATCGCTAGGTATCAACAGTACTGGGCCGGCTCGGCCCGCGGCCCAGTATGGAAATCGTCCGCTCTCGCCTGCGGCGGCGGCGCGGCAGCGGCGGAGGTTTTCACAAACGAAGCTAGAAAAGATATTACAATAAAGCCGCCGCCGGAGCCACGCGAGATTCGTGTCTCCCCGCGACGCCGGCGCAAAAATACAAATAATAAAAATGAAATGTTTCCATCTGTGCTCCCTCCCCCCGCGCGCCTCCGCGTGCGGCCTCCTCTCCTCTCCCCGTCTCCGTCGCACTCCTCGTCGAGCTCCTCGCCCCGTCCTCCTCTGCGCTCCGCGGCGCCCCGCCCCGCCCCGCGGGCCGCCGCCGTGCTCCGCTCAGCTCCAGCTCCGCGCTCGCGGCCGCCCCGAGGTTCCCACCGCGGCCGCCGTGCTCCGCCGCCGGGGTCTGGGTGTCGTGACAGGTATTTCCCATTATGGCGAGTGGCCCTCCCCTCCACTTCCGGTGCGATGGATGGCGAGGGGAGGAGCCCGTTCTGCCGTTCTGCCGTCTTGGCGGCGGTGCCAAGGAGCCGCTGCTGGAGAGAACTTGCATAGTGCCGCTGGGAGTGAACTGCACTTCAAGCCGTGGCACGCGGGCGACGCGGCGAGTACGGACACTCCGTGCGTCACTGCTGCGCCGTGCGTTCGTAGTAAATGGCGTGTACAGTTGGTTCGCCCCCCTCCCTCCTCCTCC